TATATATATATTTGCTTAAGAGCTGTCGTAAAAAACGCCACTAAGAAAAAGAATATAGCTTTAAGTATGCGCACTACAATATAGTTTTTTCCGCTAGACTCACTTCTTGACGGTGGCATATCCTTTTAATAGCCCCAATAAGTTAGCCCTAACTTAAAGTAAGAAATACTTTATTAATAAATGAATATTACATAGAGATTATGCGATTACGTATCAAGTGATGAACGCCTAACCGCGCGGGTGTTAGCTTTATGCTAAAGTAGTTTATTAACGTATTGCAATAGGATACGTTGCGTCCTATTGTTGGGCTGGCAGGACCATAAGGGTCGGAGTGGTCGTTAGATTTCAATAAAGCAATTTTTCGATTCGATTATGACCTTTAATAAATACATAGATATATTTCTTGCGTAACAGTTGTAAGGGGTGTCTGTTAGCTTTACCTGTAAAAAAAAAAAAAGCGCGCCATTGTGGACGAGAAAAACAACGGTCATAGCAATATCATCAATTTATTTTTGTCTTAAATTGACCGCCGGCCTGATTCTACGAGCTGCTACAGTAAGGCGGTATCGTAAACATCATAAATTATATTCCGCTAATTCTGATAAAACACGCACAGGAAGAGTATTTCGAATAACTGGGTTGATCAACTCAGTTTGATCCGACTGTTGGACTACCGGGAGGTCATAAGTACCTCTTCTGCTGCCAGCCTATCAGGATGTTTCTAGGACGGTTTAGAGCAAGATACAGAAATTAAAAGTCAGTCGCTATCTTGTGATTGCTTAGTAATTTAACATAACGTATAGCTGAAACATGCTAATACAATGATATGCAACACACAGCGCTCCCAGAATCTATTCCTATATACATTATCTTCGATAGGCGTCATTTTAGGCTCTCAAGGACAACAATAGATTGAAAAGTCATCGTGTTTTTTCAACGTTTAAAATGTTTCATGGTGTTTTTTCTGTGATTCGTTATTTCTAGCAAGCTTAAGTTACACCGAAAGAAGACCGTGGCATCGGTTGAGGTCCCGTTACAAGGCGTCTCGATCCTTAAGCCGCTCACGGGGACCGACCCTAATCTCTACGGCAATCTGGAGTCATTTTTTACCATGAACTACCCCACGGTAAGTTCCTGCCCATCAAGGTAACACACGTATGCAGACAGGTATTGATAAATAAACCCAAATAAACCACTCCAACTGGGAAATGTAATGTATTCCTTATGATTTACCCCTTGATGAGGGATGGCGGAAGTGCCGTTGTCTTGGTTCACACAGGGGCTGTTAAGAAATAACACCTCGAATTCTCTGAGTTTTTACATAGGGCGCTGATCTGTTCTCCTTCATTTTTTACAACTATTACACATCCAAGTTTTTTGTGTCTTTTGGGTAGAAACATTTCTAGAAGTGTTTTTACTACTCCGTTAGTGGACTTGTAGCCATCCTCAGTATATTGCTCATATATATACACAGCACCTTGTCCTGCTAAGGCATACAATAGTTTCTCTATTTTTTTAAAAATATTTTTACTCTTATATATTTCCATCGTGCGTCGACACAATAGACACACATGTAGAGGTAAAATCGGTGCGAATTTTGCTATGTATTACTCAGCATTTCAGTATATTATACAGGCATATAGGGAACATTGCATTTCTGCTCATAAAAAATATCAATTCTTGTGATTCATCCTAACTTTTTTCATAACCGCGGAATTTTGCCGCCGCCGCCGCTACCGCAGGCGCCTATTACTAAGTTTGTTACAACTCTGAACGGTCTCGCAGAGTACACAACAAGTAAATCTGCTCAAGTTATTCAAGTTGCATGCAACTGTTAACTCACCGTGTAGGTGCCAATTGTATCTGGCAAGATTGTTTCGAAATGTCACCGGATGGAATATGTATCTTTACACACAAGTATCATCACGCGTGTGTATTGGCGTATTTCCTCGTACGTGGCGGGAGGAAATCGGAAGGAATAGATTTGACTACGCTTAAGGAATCGCAATGAACCATAAAAAGAAAGTGTTTCCACGTCCAACAACAGGTCATGAGTGCACTATCTATTTAGTAGAAATAATAATATGCTATCACTTATAGTAAGAATAAAATAGTTCTGTAGTCTGTAGCGAGTGTTTTCTAATAAGCTTGATTTAAACGTTAGCAGTGTGAACGCGTTAAGTAATAGACCTACGTAAATATCTCTTAAAAGGTAATATCTTCGAGCTATACGCTTTTTCCCACGTCAGAGAACGATACGAAGAGTTGTCCGGCGGAACCAGTAACGCAAGCTCGGCTGTCATTAATTGAGATCGCTGAACATATTAACGATAGATATAGTATTTATGATAATGGTAGCGCATGCAGAACGAAGTCGAAAATGAAGCTTGCTACTGCCATTACGAAGGTACGAAGGCACAGTCACCATCCAGCCAGCCGTCCGCCAGGTGGCCGGCAACGAAAAGTTTCTGGTTTTCTCGGGTCGTCAAATGTTTGCTTTTATCTCTGCTACCATCGAAATCCCTGTCTCTGCTGGCCGCGACGTTTCTGTGAAAAATTACACTCGACAGCTACGAGTGTTGCTAGATCTATTGACTTTCCCCCGCGCTTCGTCGACCTTGGTGACATCTCGTCCCAGTGCGGACGTTCAGCAACGCACGTTCTCGGTCTGATTGCGAGACTTCACCATTAGACTTTACTAACTAAGCAAATTCGATTTGTCACCGAGGGCAGAGCTTTGCTCGGTACAAATCTGCGCCGATATGACGTTGGCGAACGACGTTTACAGTCTGTTGAGCACGTGTCATTGGCGTAGTCGTTCTGTGGATCGCGAAAACTTTGAGCGTGCTACTTATATACGCTCTATAGTACACTATATATTACATGGTCGAGCTCAATTTAACTATAATAGCGACTAATATCACATTGCTTGCGATGTTTACTGTTCGGCGATAGCTTGACGACCGGCTTTGTCACTCGCTTAGTCATATCAGCCAGTCAGCTAGCTAGTTAGCGGAAGCTAACATGGAAAGGGTAATGGCGGCGGGGAGAACGGGGTGCCGTTACTGAATTTAACACAAACATATACAATTACGATCATATCCCGCAGCAAACATCTCCGTCAGCTACGACCACCCGCTCTGGCTATTTACAAGCTGCATATCGGCCATACTCAGCGCAACTGCGATTGTCAACGCCGACCGCTTTGCGCTTGGCCGATGTTGGCGGCGTCCAGCAGTCGGCCATCTGCTGAGGTAACTATGCAAAAATGAACAGTGCCGCTTATTTATTATCTCTTCCGCGTTCAAGTGGCTGATGATGTGTAGTTGTATAGCGTCAGTAACAACAACAGCATTTTGCCATAGGGACGCGAAGCTATCGTTATTGTTTAACGCCATGATGACGTCATCATTATTTGCGTTTACAAGTACTTCGGACATGCCTTTCATGATGGCATCGTCTTTCGTTGATTTAAATAGCCTTGAGTTTACATTAACAGTAGGACTATTATCATGATGCTTTTCTTTTTGCTATTGCCGGCTTACGTGAGCGACAGTGGAGCGTGTCATACCAACGCTCTTGTGTTACTAGGGTTACCAAACACGAAGGAGGTTAGCTAAAATGGGTATGTACTTTTCACATGAAGATAACTCGGATTTAGAATAAATTGCCTTAGTTAGACCTAGCTGTGCTGTCTAACCCTAGTCCTATATTGTGGTGTGGTAGTAATAATTATATACAGGCCGTTTTCTTTGAATTGAATGAGGTCACCGGCTGAGCGACTATTAATGGGTCCGATAATATTTGCTGAAGAAGGCAGCTCATCCATAGGTTCACAGAACGGGGCACCTGGTAAAATAAATTAAAACATCTAATAGTCGGCTTCATTTGCAAGCATATCTTTAGATCCTTTCCTAAGTATTTTTAAGCAGCACCCATCATGCGTCGATTATTCATCTTTTTACATTTACGTCGGCATAGGATTTTCCCTGCTGCCGTTAAACGCTCAGACGCATGGGCGCATTTTATTTCTGCTTCCTTATAGTGGCTTGGTTTCTTTCCTTCAGCTGCTGAATTTCTATCCGATCTTGCGACTCAGCTGTGCCACGATGTCATAAAGCTGATGTCCATGGAATATGTTAAAGAGCTGCTCTTCCTTGCTTTTGTAGCCATTGTTTGACTGAGTTATTCATTCACACTCCCACCCCCGCCCCATCGTCCGTTATCCGCTCTCGTTTGTCCATTCCTTATTTCATTAACGTCTACCACTCTTTTCGGCTCGTTCCACTAGACTCCTTGAGCGTCAATTTCTTGTTACGATTCAAGCAGTCACTAACGTTTCGACTGTCATGATCTTATGATTGAGGGTAGCGGAACGCTGGACGAGGTGGGTACCGGTTGAGAGTTTAATTTTATGATTTAATTGATGCGTCGTAGCAGTGACCGTTCCTTAAAGGTCTCGCGTTTGGTAGGGTGTGTATTGCTAATAGCAATAATGTTGCTTCGATGTTTGAATTCAGTTGTCCATTGTTTGCGTTAACATCTTGAACATGATCAATCAATTATCAACCGTTTATGGTTGTCAGTCAACGGAGTGAAGTGAGGCCTGACTGACGCCTATGTCATGCACGCCGAACTGCTAAGGCATAATAACGGACCTTCAATCTATTAAACAGAAACCATTCGCATATCTCTAAGTGATATCTCTAATAAATCAATCCGCGAAAATCGATACGAATAAAAACTGGAAAAAACATTGTTTCTTATCCTTTTTCAGAGTTAGTTGTGAGATATTATCTATAGCTCATGTATATTTATAATATATAGTAATTATATTTCTACTATAAAATACTACAGATATAGATTTACTCAAAAAATAAGTGTGTAATAAAATTTCTGTTTTATAAAATTATGCCTTGGAGATTTCTCACTAAACATCCTCTTACTTGCTGCGCTGTATTTTTACCTTTTTTAGTGGTAACTTAAAATTATAGAAACGCCTTTAACGACCTTGACAATTCCTTGCTTAATGAGATAGATTTATCATAAAAGTTTATACTTGGGTCTAAATTGCGTGCAAAGTATGTCTGCTTGCAGCGGTTTTGCTCATGTGTATCCAACTGTACATTGTTGCGTGATCCGCGGATAACCGATGTCGGGAGAGCTGGGCTAACGGACCGGGTGACGTTTCTTTCTCGCGAAAACGTTCTAGCGTTGAGGTGGGATTATTTTTTGTTCTCTCTTCAATCCCCACGCCGGCCTTTTTGCTAAGAATCAGTTTCTCTTTTTGGTTCTCACTATTTCAAGTCGTCGTTCTCCCTGATTCCAGCGATTACCATCTAAGTGAAAGCATGCTCCAAAGCCACCAGCACAGTTATCCCTGCCCCTGCCTCCTCCTCCTCCCTCCTTCCTGAAATGAAGTATTTCATTCAATGGCCTCTGGCCCTATTTGTTCCTTCCTTAGCCTTTCAAACGATCAGAAGAAGAAACATGCACTATAAAAATTGACAGATTGTTATTTCGGTCGGAATGACACTCAACGATGGGAAGACGCTTTGGTTTGTGAACGGCCTGTCAGACAAGGCATCGCGTTGGGCTTTGTCATTGGCGTCGGAGTAACGAGCAGCGAGCTCTCCAAAAGCTCTTCACCAGTTCGTGCTTGTGTCCTGTTCTGAACTACCTTCTTTTCACATCGTCCTTTTTGCCCTTTCGTACAGGGATATACGTTATCCTTTTCCTTCTAAGCCCAGCAGCCGTTTCAGACATTTTTCTTTCTCAACATAGCAGCGCCGTACAGGTGCCATGCTTCATGCAGCAACGATAAGCACACGTTGTCGTGAATCTATGTTGCGATGGCGAAGCCTCCGTAAAGACGACACAATGTAGATGGCCGCTCGCTTCCTGTAGTCCAAGACCGGTGTTACGTACAGTCGACGGCACACCACCGGGGCAAAGGGTGTACCAGCCGTTGTCGAAATGGGCCGAGCAGCGTCTTGGAGTGGGTTCCAACTAGGATGAGGTATCATGCAGGGTGTCGCTTATTCTACGAGCAACGCGAGACAAAAATGCAATGGGATTTGCCCTTCACCACCTCCCATTCAGCCCCATCGAAGGCTATCGCGGTGA